TCCAATCCCCACCCCACCACTGACCTGCCCCGGAACCTTCCTGGCTGTCTGCAGGGCCAGAAAGCTCCCCAGAAGGAGCCTGGGGGTCCCCGCCACTGGTCTTATCCCATCTTGGGGGACAGTTAGGAAGCGAAGGTGTGTCCTCACCTCCGCCCTCATCATGACGTGACAGCCGCCATCTAATGTTCCCACGAAAGGGCAGAAGCGTGCTGTTGGTTTTGACCAATGCCATGGTGACGGTGGCACCTCTCCTTTGGGCAGGCTGTGCGCTAGGTCCTAGATCCTAACAGCCTGCCTGGCAAGACCACGAGTATCCCCATTTCACAGATGGGGAAACTGAGACTTGGGGTCCACATCGAATGTGGGCCGGGTGCAGAGATGAGAGCTGGGGCCCACCAGGCAAGAGCTGTCTGGGAGGGCGAGTGGCCTCAGGGGCAGGACATGTGGCACAGCACTGGGGGCGGGGGCAGCCGGAGGCATCCAGCACGAGGAAGGAAAGGTGGACCCTTTCCTGCAGGATGGCATGGGCGTCCCTGTGCCCAGAGCCCTAGGCCTGTGCTCCTGCCTGTCTCTGCTCCTGACTTCTGGTAGGGACCCAGGAAGGATCTGAGGAGGGTGGAGAAGGGGCTGAGAAGAAGCCCAGTGAGCATCCAGGCATGGCCGCCCCCTCCTGCACTGCCAAAGCCTGTTCCCCCATCTCTTCCTCTAGCCTTATAATAAAACGCAGTTTATTGGCCAGGTGCCGTGGCTCATGCCTATAATCCCTACACTTTGGGAGGCCAAGTCGAGCAGATCACTTGAGATCAGGAGTTTGAGACCAGCCTGGCCAACATGCCGAAACCCTGTCTCTACTAAAAATACAAAAATTAGCCTGGCATGGTGGCGGGCGCCTGTAATCCCAGCTACTCCGGAGGCTGAGGCAGGAGAATCGCTTGAAGCCGGGAGGCAGAGTTTGCAGTGAGCCAACATCATGCTGCTGCGCTCCAGCCCGGTGACAGTGCAAGACTCCGTCTCAAAAACAAACAAACAAACAAACAAACAAGCACACACCACAGTTTATTTAGCTAAAATTCATGTACCATACACTTGACCCATTTAAAGTGAACAATCCAATGATGATGATGTGCTCACAGACACGTGCACCATCCCATTGTCGATCGTTCCCATCACCTCGCCAAATCCCCTCCCCATTAGCAGTCACTCCCATCTGCCTACATACTCCCAGCCCCTGCCGACCCTCTGTCTCTGTGGATTTGCCTGTCCTGGGCATTCATTTAAATGGCACCTTTGCGGCGTGGCCCAGTGTGTCTGGCACTTTCAGTGAGCACAGTGTCCTCCAGGTTCTCATGTTGCAGCACGTGCCAGCAACTCATTCCTTTTTATAGACAAACCACATCGCATTGTCTGGATGGACCGCATTGTGTTTATCCATCCACCCCTTGATGGACACGGGCTGTTTCCGCTCTGTGGCTGTGGTGAATAGCCTTGCTGTGAACACTCGCGTGCGTGTGCTGTGGGGACGTGTGTCTGCCTTTCTTCCAGGACAGCACCAAGGCGGGGAGTCACCGGGTCATGCGGTTCCACTCCAGCCTTCATCAGCTCCCCTCACGCAGAGCTCTCCCTCCTGGGCTTGTCCGTGCTGGCAGTGCCCACAGCTTCGAGGCTGGCCCCTTTGGCACAGCAGAGCCTTTTGTGAAGTCTCCGAAGTGGACTCTGAAAGCCTCCGGTGCCCTTGCTGGTGGTGCAGGGGCTGAAGGGCTGTCTGAGAGTGACGTGTTCATGAAGAATCACCTCCCCCATGTTCCCGTAGTGTACGCTTCCTCGGGAACCCGCGCAGGGCCTTTTAAGTAGTTTAGGAAAACACGGTGGTTTAATGTATTACAGGAATATAATTGTATTTTTATTGCTCATTACATTCTGAGTTAATTACATAGCAACCAGGTTTGTACTTTGTAATATTCCAACGAAATCAGCGTATGCGCTCTTGGTTCAGAGTAGGTGTCCAGCCCACACACCTTGGGGTTAGTCGGCTATGGCTGAGTTTGTCCCACAAACAGTATCAGAACTATCATTGGTTCCTGGGGCACCCAGGAGGGTGCACCGTGCTGGGACCCAGCCTTTGCTTCAGGGTCCACCTTCCACGTCGTTCCAGAAGGTTCCACTTCCTTGGGGTCAGGTGCTGCCTCACCCCTCCTGCCCATGGGCCGGCCCTCACCTTGGCTCAGACTCCGCCCTCTGAGACCTGCCGTAGGGTTTTTCCAGGATGAGGACCATTAGTGCTGACATCTCAGTGGAGACACGCCAGCTGAGAAATAGACTCGACCTGGCCTCATGTTGGGGAGGGAGATGGAGAGCCGGTTGGGGCGGGGAGGACAGATTCGAGCTGAGTAATGGGATCCCCCCAGCCCTGAAGCACTGAGTGCCAGAGGCCCTGGCAGTGGTGCCTGCGTGGGCAAGGTTCCGTTTAGTTCTGGGGACTCCCGGAGATGAAGGTGCTGCAGCCGCTGACAGACAGCTATGTGCCTCTGGGTCCAGAGAGCATCCCTGAGGCTTGTGTGCCTTCTGTGATACAGGGCTGCCTTCCGGAAGCCTCTTCTGAGAGATGGGATGACAGAGAACACACCAGTAATGTATCCCAAGGCAATCATTGGAAAAATAAGCAAAAATGTATTTCTGAGGCTGTTGCTTCTCTTGCTTATTCAATGTGAATAGTCACTACTGGGATGAGTGTGAATATGCATTAGTGGGAGTGTGGCTACACATGAATGTGTTTGAACATGCATGAGTGGGAGTGAATATGCATTACAGTGAGTGTGAATGTGAACATGCATGAGGGTGAGTGTGAATATGTGTTACTGTGTGAGTGTGAATATGCATAACTGTGGGCATGAGTGTGCATGTGCATTACTGTGAGTTTGTGATTATGCATGAGTGTGAGTGTGAATATGCCTGAGTGTGAGTGTGAATATGCATGAGTGTGAGTGTGGATATGCAGGAGTGTGTGATTATGCATGAGTGTGAGTGTGGATATGCAGAAGTGTGAGTGTGGATACACAGGTGTGTGAGTGTAGTTATACATGAGTGTGAGAGTGGGTGGACATGAGTGTGTGATTATGCATGAGTGTGACTGTGGATATGCATGAGTGTGAGTGTGGATAGGCAGAAGCATGAGTGTGGATAGGCATGAGTGTGTGTAGATATGCATGAGTGTGAGCGTGGATGGGCATGAATGTGAGTGTGATTATGCATAAGTGTGAGTGTGGATAGGTGTGAGTGTGAGTATGCATGAGTGTGAGCATGGATGGACATGAGTGTGAGTGTATGCATAAGTGTGAGTGTGAATAGCCATGAGTGTGTGGATAGGCATGAGCATGTGTGTAGATATGCATGAGTGTCAGTGTGGATAGGCATGAGCATGTGTGATTACGCATGAGTGTGAGTGTGGATATACGAGTGTGAGTGTGGGTAGGCATGAGTGTGATTATGCATGAGTGTGTGACTATGCATGAGTGAGTATAAATATGCATGTTTCAGTGTGAATATACATTGTCAGTGTGTGATTATTCATGTGTGTGACTATGCCTGTGTGTGAGAGTAAATGCATGTGTCAGTGTGAATATGCATTATTGTCAGTGTAAGTGTGAGTGTGAGTGTGTGCACACACACTCCCAAAGGAACATGCATGGAGGGGAACACCAAACGTTCCACTGGGACCTGGTGTGTATGGAGGAATCTCAAGGATCCTTCCTGGAATCTTTGTCCTTCCCGGGTCTCCAAGTTGCTCTAGGTAGAGATGTGTTTTTCGGTGACGCAACACAGCCTCCAGCGCACTGCTCCCCTGGAGCGGGAAGGCGTCCACATCCAGGCAGCTTCTCCAGCCTGGCCTCACCCAATATGTACCTGGGCTGCTTTGAGCCCTCAGAATTTCTTCCAGGGGTTCTCCCGTTGGCACCTGCTTGTCCATCCTTTTTTGTGGGTGGAGCTTCAGGAACAAGCTTTGCTCTGTTTCCCAGGGGTCCCTCTGGGGCCCAGGTCTCAGTGGTCCAGTGAGGCTCCACTGCCCCTGCTGACACCAGGGAGCCCCTGGCCTGTACTGGCTCCTTGCCCCCTGCACTGCCTTCTGGAACATGTTGCCTCACTCAGCACCTGTGTCCTGTCTCACAACAGATTTTTTAAAGTTGTGTTTTCTAAACGTTTTAATAGGGAGCTTTAAAAAAGACACAGAAGCAATGTAATGAGAGAGAGTGCGGTACCTGGATACTCACATGCCCATCTCCTGGCTTCAATAATGAACACCACCAGGCCCCCACTGGGTTATTTTAAAGCAAATTATTCCATATTTAAACTTTGGTCTTGAGACCCAGAAGAGTTCCTACATAGATGTGGCCGATTCATGGTGCCTGTCTCCTTACAGCTCTAAGTGGCTCCAAACCTCTTTGCTGGTCTGGCTGTGTGTGTTGAAGAAATTAGTGTCTTTGCCTGTGGACCTTCTTGCCCTCTGCACGGTACTTTGCGCCCGTGCGGAGTGCCTCATGGTGCCCTTCACCCTGCACTTTTACCAAGCAGTGCCGCAAAGCTGTGCTTAGCCCTGAGGCTGGGTGAGTAGCCGCACACACCTGCTGTGTCACTGCACACACCATCGGGAGGGTCTGCTGGCTGGGGCCACTAGCCTGGCTCCCCCTTTATAAGGTTTCTCATGGGTTTCCTCACCATGGTGTGAGTAGCCACCAGGGGTGACACTAGTCACCATTCTAACCCGCTGCAGCCGTCTCTTGGCCTTCTTCCATTAGGGACATTTTCCTAATGGAAGAAGGCCAGGAGACGGCTGCAGTGGGTTAGACTAGCAGAAAAGGCAGCCAACACCTGATCCTCACCCACGTAGCTGTGTCCACAGGGATGAGATGGTGCCACGGTACTTCCAAACGGGCCGTGAGGTTTTTCTTTAGTGTTTTGTCCTTATGGTATCATTTAACTTGGTTTCGATTCACTTCAGTCGTATATGAGATGTGTAAAGGTATAAATTGTATTCATTTCCTGGGGTTTTGTAACAAAGTGCCACAGACAAAATGACAGATATGTCTTGTCCCGCAGCTCTGGCGGCTGGAAGCCGGAGGTCCAGGTGTCGGCAGGGCTGGCTCCTTCTGAGGCTGCAGGAGAGGCTCTGCTGTGGCCTGTCTCTGCGGCTTGCGATGGTCCTTCCTCATTGTGTCTCTGCACACAGTCATCCCCCTGTGCGTAGCTGGGCCGCAATCGCTTCCTAAGAGGACATCAGTCAGATGGGATTAGGGCCCACCCTGAAGATTTCATTTTAACTTTATTGTGTCTTTAAAAATTTTCTCCAAACTACGGTCACACTCTGAGGTACTGGGGATGAGGACTTCAGCATATGATTTTGGGAGACACAGTCTGGCCCCTAACGTAGACGTGGACTTTTACAATGTGAATATCGCCATCCTCCTCTAGAGGGAGGCATCCTAGTTGCCTCCAGACTCTCTCGCTCAACCTGGTCATCCTGAGGGCTGTTTATTTTCCTGTATGACAAGATGTTACAGATTCATCTTGCACGTTTCCTGCTCCGGATCTCACAGTGGCCATTTCTCTAAGCAGCCCTGGTTTCCTTTAGTGGAAAATGGCATTTCATGGTCACAGTCGGGAGCTAAGGGGATTGTGGCTGCTAGGCAGGTCATTCCTTCTAAACTTTTTCTGTGGCCAAAGCTGAGAAATGCATTTATTTTTTGGGGCTTTTTTTTTTTTTTATTGGCAAGAGAAAAATACATCATGAGTTCATACTAATTTTCCCATTTAAATGTAAGATTACAGTGTTTTGTGCAGCTTCTTTGATTTTTTAATTTATATCTCTCTCCTCTTATGCTGAAAATCTTGGTTCCTAATGACATCTACATAATGACTTACCTGCTTTCTCTCACTGCACACAATCCGTGTAACTGTAATGGAACGTGGGAGAGCCAATTTGGTCACAAGATTTTTGCTCTGACCCCATCAAGAGGGAGAGTCTGTTTTCCTATGTTTTGCATCCGGACTGATCTTATTTGCTTTGTTCTGGAAGGTGCAGCAGACACGATGTAGTGTGACCTTGAAGGCAAGCCCTTAAGAGATCTTACAGTTCCTGTTTTCCACTCTCCAGGATCCTGAGACCGCCAGGCTATGAAGAAGCTGTGATGAAAAGCTCTTTTATCCAGAGTGGGCTCAGCTTTTCTAGCTGCTCCAGCTGGGCCTGGTGCCTGGGCCTTCACCTGGTTGCAGGCAGGTGGGAAGCCCCTGTGAGGCCAGCAAGGGAGCCAGTGTCGGCCCCCATCATTGTGAGACGTATAAAGCATTGTTACCTGATGCCACCACGTTTCAGCATGGTCCGTGATGTAGCAAATAGAAAAGTGATTCAGACGTTCAGACGTTGGTACCACCAGTGGAATGGTGCCTTGACAGGCACCTGAGACATGTGACATTGGCTTTGGACCCCCGGGTGTATAATGGCTGGGAAGAGGGAAAGGGACCTTTGGAAGCTGGAGAAACAGTGACCCTTGTCACTCAGGAATAAGTGGCCAAACTGGCACCTATGGTAACTTGGAAGGTAAAAGATATACCTCATGAACTTGTAGGATCCGGTGGAGGGTCTTGCTTCTGGACAGAATGTCGAAAGTGCCCATAAGCTCCATCTCACACATGTGATAAGATAGAGAAAGAAAGGTGAGTTGGGCTGGGCGTGGTGGCTCACGCCTGTAATCCCAGCACTTTGGGAGGCTGAGGCAGGAGGATCACGAGGTCAAGAGATCAAGACCATCCTGGTCAATATGGTGAAACCTCGTCTCTACTAAAAATACAAAAATTAGCTGGATGTGGTGGCACACGCCTGTAGTCCCAGCTACTCAGGAGGCTGAGGCAAGAGAATTGCTTGAACCCAGTTGGAGGTTGCAGTGAGCTGAGATTGTGCCACTGCCGCTGCACTACAGCCTGGTGACAGAGCGAGACTCAGAAAAAGAAAGAAGGAAGGAAGGAAGGAAGGAAGGAAAGAAAGAAGGAAAGAAAAAGAAAGAAAGAAAGAAAGAAAGAAAGAAAGAAAGAAAGAAAGAAAGAAAGAAAGAAAGAAAGAAAAGAAAGAAAGAAAGAGGGAAGGAAAGGGAAGGAAAGGGAAGGTGAACTGGAGAAGGGATCATTCAATTTGCAATCAGAACTTAAAGACAAAAGGCCCAGGACTAGCTTGCGTGGAAAATAAAACTGTCACTCATCCCCATTCTCTCCAACTGGTAAAAATATGCAAAGTGAAATGAATGAAGCTAGGGCCAAAGATCAAATTAAGGATGTATCTGTAAGACCCCTTGTTAAGGCTTTTGAAAGACTTATGGCAGTACCTAACAGGCCCTCTCAGCCACACAAAAGGGATTTTAAGAATCCAGGATTATTCCATAACAGTCATACATGGCCCAAGACAGGGAAAGATCTGTTTCAAAAAATAATTATGCATGTGGCTTTTGAGATATGGTGTAAACTTCAGTTAGGTTCGTAAGAAATCCACAAAGTTTTAAAGAGAGTTGTATTGGTAAAAACACTGTCAGTTTAGACTACAGAAGACAGTTTAAAATGAAAAGAAGCTTCTGGGAAGAAAAAGGTTGAGAAATTACTCAGCTACAAATATGGGTCACTTCTTAAGGAAAAGAAAATAAATCTCAGAGTGGGTAGCTAAGAACAATAAATTAGAAAACCACTCCCAGGGAGGAGAGCTGGACCTAATTAAGGAACATTCTTTGCCCTCGGAGTACAGGACACTGGCTGTGTTTCATAATTGCTGGGATTGGTGACTGCATATGCCTCCTGTTCCTCCCCTTTTCGAAGGCGAGTGCATATAGTTTTCCTGTCCCTGACTCACCATTGTACAGGGTGAGTCTGGTTCCAGATCATCTCAGTAAAGCAAATAGCTAAAATATGAGTCACACAATATTTTTTGGTTTTGCATTTAAAAGTTATATTTATACCATACTGCAGTCTGTTAAGTGTGCAACAGCATTATGTCTAAAAATCGATGTAGATACCTTAATTAAAAATATTTTTTAATTGCTAAAAAATGCTAATAATTTTCTGAGCCCTCAGTGAATTATAATCTTTTTGCTAATAGAGGGTCTTGCCTCAATGTTGATGGTTGCTGTCTGATCAGGGTGTTGGTTGCTGCAGGCTGGAGTGGCTGTGGCAATTTCTTAATATAAGACAATAAAGTTTGCCACATTGATCGATTGACTCTTTTCATGAAAGATTTCTCTGTAGCATGCAATGCTGTTTGATAGCATCTTATCCACAGTAGAACATTCAAAATTGGAATCCGTCTTCTCAAACCCTGTCACTGTTTTATCAACTAAGTTTATGATCCTATTCAAAATCCTTTGCTGTCATTTCAACAGTGTTCACAGCATCCTCACCAGGAGTAGATTCCATCTCAAGACATCACTTTCTTTCCTCATCTATAAAAAGCAACTCCTCATCCCTTCAAGTTTTCTCATGAGATTGCTGCAATTCAGTCACATCCTCAGGCTTCACTTCTAATTATAGTTCTCTTTCTGTTTCTACCGCATCTTCATTTCCTTCCTCCGCTGAAGCCCTGAACCCCTCAAAGTCATCCATGAGGGTTGGAACCAACTTCTTCCAAGCTCCTGTCAATGTTGATATATCTTCAATCACAAATGTTCTTCATGGCATCTAGAATGATTAATCTTTTCCAGAAGATTTTACTTTGCCCAGATCCATTTGAAGAAGCACTATCTACAGCAGCTACAGTCTTACAAAATGTATTTCTTAAATGATGAGACTTGAAAGTGGAAATCCCTCCTGAGGCATGGGCTACAGAGAGGATGTTGTATTACCAGGCATGAGAACAATGTTCATCTCTTTGTACATCTCCATCAGAGCTCCTGGGTGGCTGGGTACACCGGTGCACCGCTGCGGTACACTGTCAATGAGCAGTAATATTTTGAAAAGAATCTTTTATTTCTGAGCAGTAGTTCTTAACAGTGTGCTTAAAATATTCAATAAACTATGCTGTAAACACATATGTTGTTATCCCGAATGTCTTGTTAAACTTTGGGATTTCTGACAATGGGATAGGTGGCACATGGTACCTTGGTGTGGTTTTAATTTGCATTTCTCTTATTAGAGGGGAAAGTGAGCTTCTTTTTACATCTTCTAGGGCCATTTGTGTTTCTGTTTCTGTGAACTGTGTGTTCCTATCTCCAGCACAGCAGGTATTTAAACCCAAAGGTGATCTGATGACAAGAAACCCCCTTCCTAACTCCTAACCCCAGGCAGACTGCTCTCCCAGGCCAGGGCCTCTTGGACCCTAAGGAATGAGGACAGAGCATCCTGAAGATGGGGAGTCCTCATCTCCCAGCTGAGCTCAGGTGCCCACTCCAGTGTGCCAAGCGTGTTGCCTGTGTCCTGCCCTGGGGGTTCAGGAGCCTCCTCTTAGAGGAGAGAAGCCTGCAGGGGCCCAGCCTGCCCAAGGCTCCATGTTCAGCAGTGGTGCAGCGGTGCGGCGGTGAGAATGCTTGGGATGGAACTGCCTGCCTCCTGGGAGGAGAGTCACAGCCTGAGCTGAACCGCTCCGGTCTTTCCAGAGAAACCAAGGTTTCCTTTTCCTCCCTTGGCTGTTTGGGGGAGCCAGGGCTTGAGATGGCAAGGCTTGTCTAGCAGGAGCGAGAAGGCATGGTCGTGGGGCTTGAACCTGCCACCCAACCCGTGCTCTGGTGAACAATAGAGTGGAGAGAGCAGGTGGTAGTTAAGGTCCGGCCAGAGGAGTCTGCGGGACTGGCCTGCTGGCCACGAGGGCTTGCTCAGACTGAACCCAGAGCTGGGTGCACTGACCCTCCCAGCGCAGGGACTGCTCCAGCCGGCAGCCCCTGAACTAAGGCAGAGCCAGTCCCTGGGGGCCCTGTGGAGGACTCCACATCCTGGGCAGCTCAGCCCTGAGAAAGAGGGAGAGAGGCAGACCCAGTTCATCCTCCCAGCATCATCCTCCCTGGGGTCCCAGAAGCTCAGGTTCACAAGGCACCATGAGCCCAGGGCTTGCCAGCTGCCTTTCCCAGCACCAGGAAACATCCAGAGCAGGTGGAAGTGCCCCACATGCCCACGTGGGGGTCAGGAGACTCAGCTCCCTCCAGCCGCAGGCTCGTCCATGCTTCCGGGTGTCCCTGCCACCACCTCAGCTCCGCCCAGCTGGCCTTTCAAAGCAGCAGAGACTGTTTCTCCAGCCAGCCCAGGAGCTCCCCATGGCAGGGACAGAGCTGCAGGCCATTGTCTCCAGGTGCCTTAAAACCAGCTCTGCTTCTTTTTCTTGGGCTCCTCAGCAGCTGACGGCTCCTCCCTCCACACGGAGGCCTTGGGGAGGATGGGCCAGGAGGGTGGGGGCAGCTCCTGGGGGGTGGGAGGGGTGGGGACATTCCTGGGGTCTCGGTCCTTTCTGGGGCCCACACTCCTCATTTCTTCTCCCTCTGGTTCCGGGGCCTCTTCCTCCCCACCAGGCCTCCTGTAGCCCCTCCTGCAGGCTGTGTCTGGCAAGGCAGGAGGCATTGCCCATCTTCTCGGAGGCTGGGCCTGGGACTGGCCTAGCATCACCTCTGCCACGTTCTATTGGTCAAAGCCAGTCCCAGGCTCAGCTCAGACTCAAGGGACTGGGAAGTAATCCCCACCTCCCAGCGGCAGGGAGGCATGGCAGGGAGTTTGCAGTCCTCTCCAATGCCCCACAGATGCACCTGGCATCCTGGATGTGACCTGGGACCTGGCATTCAGCAGGCTGTCAATCCAACATGCTGGGCCCTTCTCCTTTCCATGGCCGCCGGCCCTGGGCTGGGGCTGGAGACCCAAAGCTCCTTCCCAGGGTTCCTGGGCACGAAGGGCTGGGACAGGCTTGTGGTGGGGGTGGCTGCATCTTATGGGGAGGGGGATGCGTTCAGGCCAGGCTGAAGAGGCACCAAGAAGGAAGAAGGGGGTGTAGCTGAGCCAGTACCACCTCCACACCCTCCACACCCTCCACACCCCCACCTCCACACCCTCACCTCTACACCCTCCACACCCTCCACACCCCCACCTCCAGACCCTCCACACCCCCACCTCCACACCCTCCACACCCCTACCTCCAGACCCTCCACACCCCCACCTCCACACCCTCACCTCCACACCCTCCACACTCCCACCTCCACACTCCCACCTCCACACCCTCCACACCCTCCACACCCTCCACCTCCAGACCCTCCACACCCCCACCTCCACACC